ACAACCACGGTCTCAGCTACAGGAGGACCTAATGGACTACACGCACAGTACAGGCCCCACGCAACAATGAGGGACACACTAAACCTCCTTTAATATAACGTGCACAACTCTGCGAGAGTTATGGGTGCGTTATTGGCAGACCCTGCAACAGAAGACAAATACGACGTAATTGCAGTACAAGAGCCCAGCCGGAATCCCCACATGCTAGCAACACACTGCCCCAGAAGCTGCGGCTTCTGGCCAGCATATCACCCGGAAACACACCCAAGAGTATGCTTTCTGGTCAACAAAAGGCTCGTGGAACACACATGGGAATGCCACTACCACTCAGAATACATTGCAGTGCTGACCATCACCACCGACCTGGGTAAGGTGCAAATAGTCAATGTGTATGCACCTCCTCCAGGGGGCTACAGCAGTGAACCGGAGGAATCCCCCATAGGCCAGCTGCAGGAGGTAGCCGGAATGGGCACAGATGCAGAGCTGGTCATATTAGGAGATCTTAATGTCCACCATGAGAGGTGGGGAGGGGTGAGAGTGGAGAGAAACTTCCGCATGGCATGGCAGCTAATAGCACAGGTGGATAGGCTGGGTCTCCAGCTTGCCACACCTGTAGGAGCTACCACATGGCAGGACAGAGGCAGCCCAGGAACGACTATAGACCTCACCTTTCTATCACCACTCCTGCACGACAAGCTCAGGAGGTGTGCAATAGCGGAGGAGGCATGCAAAGGATCTGACCATAAGCCCATAGAAACAACACTGGAACTCACACCCATCCCAAAGGAGGCTGAGAGACGAAACTGGAAGAATGCGGAGCCTGAGGAGGTAGCAAGGGACTGCCAAAAGCTATATGTGCCACAAAGCCTGGACTCCAGGCAAGCAGTCAAGGAGTATGCAGACTACCTGGTAGGATTTGTAGGGACATTAGCGGACAAACACGCCACCGTAAGTAAGGCTGGGTTAAAATCCAAGACATGGTGGTCACCGAGGGTGGCCAAGGCAGTGGAGGAGTACAAGCAGGCTAGGAGGTCCCAGCTCCCAGAAATGGAGCGGCTCAGGGCACGCTGCAAGCGCAACAGAGAAATCCACTTGGCTAAGACAGCAAAACTTCAGAGATCTGGTTGACAGGACCCGTGATGACCCCAGATTGATGTGGGGACTGGCAAAATGGGGTTTGTCTGCCCCCACAGGCACCTACTGTCCCCCCCCTGAGAACAGGGGAAGGGGCTGACGCGACGGTAGAAACCTCTTTTGAGGGGAAGGCTGAGGCATTACGACAACGGTTCTTCCCACAGCCAGAGCCCGCCGACTTAAGTGACACCAATATGGAGCTGCTGCAAGCTGAAAGGGAAGCGTCAAATGACACCATCAGTGTGGAGGACATGGAAAGCCTGATCCAGAGACTGCCAAACAGGAAGGCACCAGGGAGGAGTGGGATCACCAACGAGTTCCTTAAGATGCTGGGCAGAACATTTGTGGAGGCCATAACAGCTCTCACCAATGCATGCTGGCATTGGGAGACTTACCCAGACACGTTTAAGGAAGCCAAGACAGTGGCCTTGCGCAAGCCAGGGAAGGCTGACTACCAGACTGCAGGAGCGTGGAGACCCATTGCCTTGCTGGACACAATAGGGAAGATTGTGGAGGCAGCAACTGCAAAACGCCTGCGGAAGATCGCGGAGGACCACAACCTGCTACCCTCACAGCAAATGGGGGCAAGAAGGGGCAGGTCCACTGAAACAGCCATAGCACAACTTCTAGCCCAGATAAGGACAGTGTGGCAGCACCCAGGACAGGTGGCATCGGTACTCTCCCTAGACATGACAGGGGCCTATGACAAGGTGCTGCGGGAGCGAATGGTTCACATCCTCCGGCGACTGGGCATCCCCAGGGACCTGGTGGGATGGGTTGCGTCCTTCATGACCAACAGGAAATCCACAATTGCCTTTGAGGGCAAGGAATCAGACACCTTTGCACATCCCAGCAGGCATCCCGCAGGGGTCACCCCTATCACCTATACTATTCCTATTCTCCAATGAGGAACTGGTGCGCATATGCTCAAGACCGGGGCGACCGGTGGTGTGCATAGCCTTTGTGGACGATGTCAACGTGATGGCCTATGGCCAGTCCACTGAGGACAACTGCAGGGAGCTCCTGCGCATGCATCGGGCATGCGAGGAGTGGGCAGCACGGCACGGGGCGGTCTTTGCCCCCCAGAAGTATGAGCTAATGCACTTCACACGGGCGCGCAACCAATTCAACCTACAGGCTGAGCTGAGACTGCCAGGACAAACTATACAACCGAAACAGGTGATGAGGGTATTGGGTGTATGGTTAGACTCTAGGCTGAGATGGAAGGGCCACCTGGACGCGGTGGCAGGCAAGATGAAGACTCAAGTCAGAGCACTGTCCCAAACCACCCAATCCACATGGGGGCTCCCACTACAACAAGCGAGAATGGTGTATAACATGGTCATCAGGCCGGCCCTGACCTATGGAGCAATAGCATGGCACCAGCCACAGGGGCAGGGGGGCACGGGTCCAGCTAAGTCAGGACTGGCCCTCAAGCTGACCACAGTGCAGAACTCCTGCCTCAGAATAGTGGCAGGGGCATACAAAAGAACCCCAACAAGCACACTGGAAGCGGAAACCCACACAGTACCCTTAGACATCCACCTGGATGGGCTAGTGGCAAAGGCGGTCAACAGGATGAAGGCCTCAGGAATGGCGCAACAAATTGAGAATGCGTGTGCGGCCATAAGGACCAGGCTTCGGCACCGGGGGGTGACAAGGGGGGCACAGAGACACATGGGAGCTGTGGTTCACCCGGCAGCCCTGCCAGTGGACTGGGAACAGCAATGGATTCAGGGTGCTAAGGAGAGAGCCACAGCAGAGATGACACCGGAACAATAAGCCATTCTGTACCTAAACTTCATATTATCACTGTCTGATGCGCGAGCATCTCTTGAAGGTGGTTGCAAAGTGGTATATAACTTTAATCTCTCC